ACTTCCGAAGCATACTCACATGAAACACGTCATGAACTCCGGACAACTGTGGCGGCAATGCTAAACGATAAGCAACCTCGCCAATCCTCTCAAGGATCTCAAAAGGCCCAATAATCGAGGGGATAACTTCCCACTCTTCCCAAACCTCATCAACCCCCGCCTAGGTGATATCTTTAGAAAGGCATGATCACTTATCTCAAACGCCAAAGGCCTCCTCCTACGGTCAGCATAAGATTTCTGACGACTCTGGGCTGTAACAAGCCTCCTACGGATAAGTTCAACTTTCTCCGTCATCTCCCTAACCAGCTCCGGACCCAACAAAGGTGCGTCACCCACCTCGGCCCAACAAACTGGAGACCTACAAAGCCGGCCATACAAGGCCTCAAACGGTGCCATACCGATACTAGACTGAAAGCTGTTGTTGTAGGCAAACTCCACCAATGGTAAGTGCCTCTCCCACGTCCCACTAAAGTCAAGGACACAACCCCGAAGCATATCCTCAAGGATCTGAATAGTACGCTCAGACTGCCCGTCAGTCTGAGGATGATAAGCTGTACTAAAGGTCAACTTAGTACCCAAGGCACTCTGCAAACTCTGCCACAACCTAGCAGTAAAACGAGGATCTCTATCTGAGACGATCGTCACTGGGACCCCATGCAACCTCACTATGTCCCGAATATACAAGTCGGCAAGATGGTCTACCGAATCTCTCACGCGCATAGGAATGAAGTGCGCCGACTTAGTCAACCGGTCTACAACCACCCAGATAGCATCACTACCCCGCTGAGTCCTCGGAAGACCTACAACGAAGTCCATAGTGACATGCTCCCACTTTCACTCGGCAATAGGCAAGGGTTGCAACAAACCCGCTGGCCTCTGATGCTCGGCCTTCACTTGCTGACAAGTAAGGCACTTAGACACGAAAGCTGCCACATCTCTCTTCATACCCCGCTACCAAAACCGGTGACCCAAATCCCGATACATCTTAGTACCTTTGGGATGCACCGCAAGACGTGAATGATGAAACTCTCGGAGTACTTCCTCTCGGCAAGACTCCGGCACAAACAAACGGTCTCGGTATCTCACACTCAGGTCGAGACACACCGTCAAACCCTTCTCAACCTTCCCACTGGAGATCTTCTCTCGGAGGGATTCTACCTCAAGGTCACTTCTCTGTGCCTCTGACACTCGAGTCACAAGTGTAGACTGCGCAATAACAGAAAACAAGGCCGCAGCCTCAACAGATTCGCCCAGTAGCAAATCAAACTCGCCAAGTGCTCCCAACATCTCCCATTCCCGGATGTCTATACTAGCAACATCACTAATGGATTTCCTACTAAGGGCATCGGCCACAACATTGGCCTTTCCCGGATGATAATGCCGGATGATAATGCAACTCAAAGTCGTAATCCTCAATAAATTCCATCCATCTCCTCTGCCTCAAGTTCAAGTCTTTCTATGTAAACAGATATTTCAGACTCTTATGATCCGAGAACACCTCGAATCTCTCACCATAAAGGTAGAGCCTCCAGATTTTCAAGGCAAAGATCACAGCCGTTAACTCTAGGTCATGCGTAGGGTAATTCTTCTCGTGTGTTTTCAACTGGCGTGAGCCATAAGCTACCACTTTTCCTTCTTGCATCAACACACAACCCAAACCCTCTCGTGAGGCATCACAATAGACTGCATAACCTAGCCCTCTCTCCGGAATAATCAATACCGGAGCGGTGGTCAATCTAACTTTCAGCTCTTGGAACGACTTTTCACAAGTCTCACTCCACACAATTTGACTCCCTTCCGAGTCAGTCTAGTCAATGGCGAAGCTAACCTGGAGAAATCCTTCACAAACCGGCGGTAATACCCAGCTAATCCCAGAAAACTGCGGATCTCAAACACACTCTTAGGCTGTGCCCAATCCTGCACTGCCTCAGTCTTGGATGTATCAACGGACACCCCTTCTTTGGAAACCACATGGCCTAAGAACTTGACTTCTCCTAGCCAGAACTCACACTTCCCAAACTTGGAGTACAACCTATGGGCTCTAAGTAACTCAAGCACCACTCTCAAGTGTGCCTCATGCTCCTCCTCTGAAGGTAAATAAATTAGGATGTCGTCCACGAAAACGACTACAAAACGATCCAAGAATTCCCGGAAGATTCGGTTCATCAAGTCCATAAAGACTGCCGGTGCGTTGGTAAGCCCAAATGGCATCACCAGAAACTCATAATGGCCATACCGCGTACGGAATGCCGTCTTAGGAATATCCTCCTCCCTGACCCTCAACTGGTGGTAACCCGATCTCAAGTCTATCTTAGAGAAACAACGGGAACCCTTCAACTGGTCAAACAAATCATCTATACAGGGCATAGGGTACTTATTCTTAACCGTAGCCCAATTCAACTTCCGGTAGT